AGCCGCGAGTGCAGGCCGAGGCGGAAACGTAAGCCACCTTGGAATTCTTCAAGTCACCCCGGGGAGCAAGAGGCGAAGATCTGGAACCAGAGACGTGGGCCGCCAGGTTGGAATTCGCCAGGTTAGTCCGGGGAACTTGGATTGAATGCTAGTGGCGGAGACGTAAGCTACGCTGTGTGACTCGCGGAGGCTGCTGCGCGCAGACAGAGCATGCGGGGCTCAAGTAGATAGGGAACGCTGGGCTAGTGCGAAGCCGCGCAGATGAGAGAGGCGCGGGCTGAAGCGGCTCAGAGCCGGAAAGCCGCCGAGAAGCAGCCTCGGGGCGGGCACCGGGAAGCCGCGGGGATAAGAGAAACAGAAGTTTAGAAGCAAAATGAGAGAAATAGGAATGTTGGCAGATAGAAGTAAAATGGGAGAAATAGGAATGCCCGGAGATAGAGAAATAGAGAAATAGAAAGGCCTCCCCACAATACTGCAATGAGAAGGCTTGGATTCGGTCTGCCTGATTAGTGAGGCGATGAGCACCTGCGGGCGGCTAGCAGCTTATGCGCCGCAGGTCACCGAAGACAGGCACGAATTAACATCAATAAGGCCTCCCCACAACACAGCAATGAGAGAGCTTGGATTCGGTCTGCCTGATTAGTAAGGCGGTAAGCACCAGCAGGCAGCTCGACCAGAGTATGAGCTGCAGGTCACCGAAGATAGGCACGAACCAACACTAATAAGTCTCCCCCACAATATGGCAATGAGAAGGTTTGGATTCGGTTTGCCTGATTGTTAGGGCTTGTAAGCCCCTGCAGGCAGAGCAGAGCATGCGCTGCAGGGCACCGAACACAGGCACGCATCAGCGCCTAAAAACCTCCTCACAACATGGTGAAGAGAGGACCCGGATTCGGTTTGCCTGATTGATAGGACTTGTAAGAACCTGTGGCAACTCTAGCAAGTAGAGCAGAGTGTGTGCCGCGGGACACCGAAGACAGGCGCGTATCAACGCCAAAAAATAAAAAGAAAGGGGGATCTGTGGGGAGCAACTCGGACTAGACTGTTACTGGAATTAAGACTTATTCTATGCATCTGCTCTCCCACAATATGGCGCTGGGAGAGAAGAAAGCGGCTTCTACACAGCTGCCTCCAGTTCAGCCAATAAACTGTAGGACTTGCTCCTGATTGGAGGAGAGCAGCATGCTCGGCGTGTGGGCAGCCGAGTTGGGATTGGCGGAGGAGGACTATAAAGGAGGAGAGAGACGGCATGCACCAGGAACATCTAAGGGGAACATCTAAGGGGAACACCTGTGCAGCCCCCGAGAGAGCCAGCCGGCGGTGTGCCGCTCCCCCGCGGAAGTGGGGAATGTGGCCAGGGGGAACTGCCCTTCCACGGGGTGGAAGGGTCGGTAGCCAACCCGGGAAGAACCAGCAGCCAACCCGGGGAGGGCCGAGCAGACGAAAGAACAGCGCAGGGTCCTGTGTCGTTCCTCCATGAAGACGGGGAGCGACAGGCACAGATCCTCTGAACACTGTGTCATTCACTTTCTAAAACAGTGAGCAGTTCGCTCAGCGCATGGCTGTTGGGGGGCTCGCGTTGTGTCTGGCGTGCTCCAGATCCTGGGGGTGATGGTGACCTTGTCCACCCAGCTGCCTGCTGTCGGGGAGAGAAGGGCTGGAGCCCAGCTCTGTTTCTGGTCAGTTTGCAAGGGAAGGGCCAGCCCTTCTGTAACTTCCCACCGGGGCTCCTAGCCCTCTGTCGGGAGCCCCTATGACTGCTGTGAGTCTGCAGAGAGGGTGTGTGGGTGCTGGATCTCCTTTATGGCTTGGCTGAGGCTGGTAGGTGGGAACGTGCAGCCGACCTGGGCGGAGGATCTTGTGCCAAGCCAGAATGGATGCACACACACCCATGGCCATGGCCAACGGGAAGCCCCGCCCCCCAGCTCCACGTAATTGCTTGCATGGCCAGAAGGAAGGTGCTGAGGCTTCTATTTGCTTGCACAAGCGGCTGCCTTCAGCCGCTCCCTGGCCTCTTCTCTGGGGCACTTAAGGCCCAGCGTGGGGAGGTTGGGGGGAGTGGTTCTCAGAGGCGGGGCCTGGGGCGAGGCCAACCACAGTCCCTACCGGTTTAAGACTCAGAGCACACACACGGCAGGAGCATTTATTACCTCCGAAGGAGTGCTGGCTCTGTGAATGGAGGGCTGAGGTATTGCAGCTGTTATCTTTTGAACTAACTGCCATTGCGTGTCCCATGACCAGCCGTGGCAGGGTTTTTGTTCCCGTGAATGAATGGGCCATAAATCTCTCGGGGCTGACACGAGCAGCAGTACTAGAGGGTGTAAAGAGAAAATGTGCCGAAGAATCCTGTGGTCTTTGCTTGCCTGGAAAATGAGTTCGATAAAATGGAGGTGATCAGTGCTTATTTATAGGGTAAACCGATACATCCAGCACTGGCCCTCGGCACCTAACTTAGTGTTTCCTCATTTACCTCACTCTGGAAAGCCCATCCCAGCACCCGGGCAGCTCGTAGGGCTGCGAGCAGAAAAGGGGACGCCTGCACAGAAGGAGGTGTTTCCCTCCCTGTTTGGAAGGTTCGGGAGCCTTCAGAGGTAACCGGTTGAAGGGGTACAGCTCTGAGGATTGTGAACCAGCCGGGAAACCCAAGGCTGAGAATGGTTCTTTATTTGCATTTCAATTTTTGAGGGTGAATGACAGAAACTGGGATAAAATTAATCGCCATTTTTCAGGCCTCTGAAACAATAAATTCCAGCAACCATAAATTTGGAGCTGGGTTAAGTACTGAAAACAATTTATTGCTAATTTTTCCCTTAATTGCATTCTCACGAAGAGGGTTTGGTGCTTGCCGGTGGAATTATTATATAAAAATGATTCGTCGGACAGCACAATGGACAGTGAATCAGAAGCTTGCCTGCAGCGGGGTCAGGGTTCCTCCCGGCTCATCCAGCCCCCACCCAGGCTGTCTCTCAGGGGGATGCACCTGCTGTCCCCTCACCCCTCCTCCACAGCACTGCTTAAATGGAAGCAGAGGGGGATGTAATGGAGTGATCACTGCCTGGGCCTCCCTGCCTCATTTCATTTGCTTCGAGGCTCCTCATCGTGTCAGGCTAACTGTGGCTGAGGCCAGTCGACAGCCTGACCCTGCCAGGGGAGGCAGCTGGGATCCAGTGGCACTGTGTTAGAAACTGCTGGGGTGAGGCCGGTGCCGCGGCTCAGTAGGCTAATCCTCCGCCTTGCGGCGCCGGCACACCAGGTTCTAGTCCCGGTCGGGGTGCCGGATTCTGTCCTGGTTGCCCCTCTTCCAGGCCAGCTCTCTGCTGTGGCCCAGGAGTGCAGTGGAGGATGGCCCAGGTGCTTGGGCCCTGCACCCCATGGGAGACCAGGAGAAGCACCTGGCTCCTGGCTTCGGATCAGTGTGGTGTGCCAGCCACAGCACGCTGGCCGCGGCGGCCATTGGAGGGTGAACCAATGGCAAAGGAAGACTTTCTCTCTCTCTCTCTCTCACTGTCCACTCTGCCTGTCAAAAAAAAAAAAAAAAAAAAGAAAGAAAGAAAGTGCTGGGGTGGGATGAAGATCCGGTTCCATCTCCCATGTTCGGGGGTGAGCTTCCTCTAGCAGGGAGGGCTTGTCATGATGGGGCTTTGAGAGCTGGTCCTGGCCTTGGAGGGGAGAAAAGAGATGCTGTAAGTTATCTTAAGCTACTGGAGCAGGTGCAGTGTCTCCCAGTGATTGACGGGAAGACTTGGCTCGGGTGGGGATGGGAAACGTTGTCTTCTTTATTTGCTATCTGGGTTCCATTTTGACCTGGAAGAGGCCATCAGTGGGAATGCACCTGCTTAGCTCAGTGTCCTTGGTCAAGGAAAGGTGACTGACCCACCAGATCAAACCAGCCAGGACCAGAGCCTGGCCAGGGCCTCTGTCCTTCACGGAGCTCCTGGTGGCTGAAATTCCAACTTGAGTAGCTGTTTGGGGAGCAATCAACAGGTGCTGACAGTATTTATGGTGTAACAGGTGCATGGGCCATGTGTCCATGGAGCTCAGGTAGGTAAAGGGAAGGGCACAGGGGTCCCTCCAATATCAGGCTGTCGATGGCTGTGGCAGTGGGAGGACCCTGCTGCAGCAGAGAGGAAGGAAGGGCATGAGGGAGGGGTGTGGTGTCTGGGGCCGTGGCCGTCTTTCTGGGACCTGGCGGGATGGGGTGAGCACACTCCAGGATAGAAGGATCCGGTCCATTCCACGATACTCAGGGGCTGGGAGCGAGTCAGTGAGTATGTAGAATTAGAGAAAAGCCACAGCTCCCTTGCTGACTTGGTGGGATGGTTCTCCATGGCCTCAGTCTCACACAGTGTCAGAACCAGTGGCTGTGTCCCTTGTTTCAATGCCAGCTCCAGGACATGGCCCCAGAAAACTATGCCCCCCCACTCGAACTCATATAGGAGTTTAGCCTCCACTGTGGGGCCTCAAGGGGGCGACGCGTAATCAGATTATGGTGCTCCCAGGAGGGACCTTTGACAGTAGTTGGGATTAGGTGAGATGGTTGAATCCTGGAGGCTTTCTAGGCAGAGAATCAGACACACAGAGACACATGTACACGTGTGTGCTCCTTGTCTCTTGCTGTGTCACACTGCCAGCAGGAAGGCCATCACCAGATGAAGCCCCTAAACCTTACACCTTCAAAATCATGAACCCAGATGAACCTCTTTTTTATAAAGCAGTCTGCCCCAGGTATTTCATTATAGTAACAACAAAAACAACAAAATCCAACTAATACCAGACTCGGGGGAGAGACCAGTAGATAGCAGCTTCCTGCTCCGGAACTCCCAAGACAGGGGCTTATATTACCCTGTCCTGTGTGTGGAGGCAAGTGCCTATCAAGCGCCCACATGGCTGCAAATTAAATGTGCACATGAACTACCACGGCCAACCTTTAGGCAGGGCCAGGGAGAATTTTTCACACCTCCTACTTTGTTCAGGCTCCCTTCCCTACCTCTGTCTTCCAGTTCCCCGGGAGAAACACAGCACCTTGTCTGACCGGGACTTGCTGGTATGAGCCAAGAGTGGGAGTAAAAATAAGGAACTGAGCCCATGGATCCCGGGTGATGAGCAAGGGTGGAGGAGGCCCTACTCCTGGCCTGCAGGAGGCTCACGCAGTCGTGGGGATGGCGTCAGTTTGCAGTAAGTCATCCCGACAGCCAGTGCTGTGGAGAATCTGGGTTTGTAAAGATCAAAAGCAAACACCGGGTTGGGAATCTAGGAGTAACACAAATGTACTTGTGAATGTCTGAAAATCCAAGAAAGTTTCCAGAAGAAAATAAAAAAGAAACTGTCTGCCATCCCGCTATCCAGAGATAAGCATTGTTAAATTTTTTATGCATTTCTCTACAGGCTCATGGACATTTGGCTGTATTATTAGTTTTTCAGAATTGGGATTCAGTGCGACATACAGCTTTTGTATCATGCCTTTCTCCCCATCCCTTAGCATAGTGTAAACGCTTCCCACGTTCTTAATGGTTTTCATGAACATTTTTGTGTCTTTTGAAGATTCTGCACAGTTTTCTGCACATGTTTCAGGCATGTGGCCCATTGTTTAACCGCTCCCTTCTTGGTCAATAGTGAGTGGTTTCTAGCATTTTTTGGTTACCAGTGGAACTGTGACAATCATTCCGTGGCATTAATTACTAGGGGCCCCCTCCTCTTGGCCCCCAACCCCCAGTTCTTTCTCCAAGTGGAATTAGAAAAGAAAGCTCTGATAGTGAGCTTCATGCATTTTGAAAATGTTGCCCTCCTGGGAAGGTTGATCCCGTGAGCTGTGAGGGTTAGAGGCAGCCTGGGTCCCCAGTCAGGAGGTGGGCTTTACTATGCTACCTGTTGGATGGAGAAAAATACTTGGAGTTGAGATTTCTTTCACGATGGAGGTTGAGTAAAGGTTCCTATTTTAGTATATGTGCTGCCGAAGTGAGCACGAGTAAAGGTTTCTAAGTCGCCTGTGTGTATAGATTTCTTCTGTGAATGACTGGGTGAGTCTCCTGGTTTTCTTCTGCAGTTTGAGTCTTTGAAAGAATCCTTCAGAACATGAAGAGGTCAACTGGTCCATCTTCTCTCTTCTAATGGGGCCAAGCAGGAGACATAGAGGACTGGGGCGTGAGCCAGGCCTTGAAGAATGAGGAGGGTTTTGATAGCTGGGTCTTGGCTCGGTCCAAGAGGCACCTGCCTAGGTGAGTTATGTGGAAAGAATGCTCTCAGGTCAACCACAAGGTCACTCTGTACACTTAAGGAAATGAGTTATGAGAGCAAGAAGGAATTCTTTCTGGTCTTGGTCTCTGCCGAAGATAACCTGTGTGTAACCCAAATGCTGCTTTTTCTAAAATTCATTTTCAATTTATCTGAAAGGCAGAGATAGAGGGAGATAGAGAGACACAAATGGAGACACAACCAGAGATCTTCTATCTGCTGCTTCACACCTCCAGTGCCTCAACAGCCAGGCCTTGGTCAGCCTGAAGCCAGGAGCCTCGAACTCAAACCACATCTTCCACGTGGGTGGCAGGGACCCAGCTACTTGGTTCATCACTGTTGCCTTCTAGGGTGCTCACTAGCAGCAAGATGCAGTTGGGAGCAGAGGAGCTGAGACTCAAGCCAGACACTGTAACGTGGGGTACAGACATCCCAAGTAGCGTCTTCACTGCTGGGCCACATGATTGCCTCCTTTTTTTTTTTTCCCCCCACAGGCAGAGTGGAGCAGAGTGGATAGTGAGAGAGAGAGAGAGAAAGGTCCTCCTTTTTCCATTGGTTCACCCCCATAATGGCTGCTGCGGTCAGTGTGCTGTGGCCAGCACGCTGCGGCCGGCGCACCGCACTGATCCAAAGCCAGGAGCCAGGTGCTTCTCCTGGTCTCCCATGCGGGTGCAGGGCCCAAGGACCTGGGCCATCCTCCACTGCACTCCCGGGCCATAGCAGAGAGCTGGACAGGAAGAGGAGCGACTGGGACAGAATCTGGTACCTCGACTGGGACTAGAACCCAGTGTGCCGGCGCCGCAGGCAGAGGATTAGCCTAGTGAGCCGCGGCGCCAGCTGCCTCCTTCTTTGTTCATGAAATGAAGCAGGCTGACAACTTTCATGGAGAAATTTTCATTCAACAGAAAAAGGCAATTTGGTTCCACTCTGGTTAATTTTTGGTGGACGGTGATCTTGGTTGGGAAGGCAGAGGGTAGGGAAAAATGTAATGGTGCTTGAGAGAAACTTCTAGTTCTTTGCTGCTTTGCTGTGTGTGTCTGTGCACACGCAGGTGTGTGCATGTGTGTACATGTGTGTGCACCTGTCTACATGTATGTGCGTGTGCATACATACATGTGTGCATGGGTGGGCACTGTGTATGTGTGTAGGGGGGTAGTGTTGGATTCTACAGTCCAGCCAGCTGGACATACAATGGAATCTCAGGGCAGATCCCTTACCTCTGGTGGCTGCTCGTGTCTTCAGTGTTTCCACACACGTGGGGTGGGGGCGCTTCACTGGCTGGCCCTGAATTTGGGTCGGCTCTGATTGGCTCCCCAGTAGGCTGCTAATGCACACTGCCATCATTTCCCAGGGTGTTGGCAAGGCGATAATGCAATTAACATCTCCTTTTTGATGGAGAATGAGGTGAAGACAAGTTGACTTTGGGAGCCTGATGTTCACTGATAATTAGGAGAGACCCTTGAGGGGAATGTTGGGTTGCTTTAGTAATTGCACCCGGATGCCTCCGCGGTGAGCCTGCCTCTTGGACAACTCAAGGGCAGGGCCCATGGGCCCCACCTTTTGGGGTGGGGGTGGGCACGCCCATTTTGATGTGTTTCATTTTTAGCAAATGCATACAGCCATAGCGGCTGGAATTGCTGGTGATGTCTCAGGAAATTTCTTTAAAATTCAATTTGTACATGGTGACTCTAAACACTGCTTTTGGGGACATGTATTTTGCATTCTGCCATATCAGTTTGGGATTATGGACTCCGAGGGACTATGTATAACTTTTATGCACCACGTTTATTGGCACGTTTGTGTTAATAGCCAATAAGACGATATTGCCATCTTAATACCGTGTGGGTCTCTGTGATTCCGTGGCTAATGAGTGGGGCCTCTGAGTTCCTGACTGAGAGGGAGAGGAGGCAAGAAGAGTCTGGCAGTGTGGGGAACGATGTTGGAAATCCAAATGTTGGTGGGCGGATTGGGTCCTGCGGTACGGAAGAGGAGCTGGCTAGTGCAGAGAAAGAAGGCGTCTGGGTCTCGTTGGGGGTCTGTGCCACCAAGGAGGTGGTGACGCGTGCATCCAGCACTGTGACCCTCCTCAGGAGAGGACGAGCATCCCCAAGATACCGAGTTCTCAGAAAAGTACAAGAGTGCTCCTCAGTTGGGAAGCTCGCTTTGTGCAGAGGCTCCAGGGCTGCGGTAGGACAGATAGTGAGATGCGGGCTGCTGCCCCTCCCACTCAGTTCTACCTCTCCTGGTGGATTGTGCGTGATGTTTTCCCAAGGCATTCCTCACGTTGACTTTTTCATGAAAATTACACCAAGAAACAGTGGAATGTTGTATACATGTATACACACACACACACACACACTCTAATGCAAACATCACCAAAAAAAAGTCTTCCAAAGCAACAACAGAAGTCAGGGCGTTTCTTTGCTTCAAGGAATGTCTACTGGGGATTAGGGTTCTGCAGAGACTGGGGGCTGGGGCTGGCCTTCAAGTCATCACCGCTGTGGATGCCTAAGAGCAGGGCTGTGTTTGTTGAGCGCACTGCGTGTGTTTTTATCTGCAGCGTCTGGGTCCTGCTGTGTGGTTCCCTTGATTCCGAGCTTGGTGATGTGATGGAGCAAAAAGGTGGAGAAGCTATGTGGAGAGGCCACTTCCTGAAGCCTTCTGAGAGAGGGAGGTGGCAGGTGGAGTGGCTTCAGAATCCTCTTGTCCCTGGGATGCCAGGGCACGGCCTCAGCTAGGAAGGTGTTGATTCTAGGAGGAACTCAGCCAGAGGGGCTTGCATCCGGGTCTTCACATCCGGGTCTTCATGTGGACACTGAGCTTACGCTCCCAGCCCATTTGCTGGTATCTTTGCATCACCTACAACAAGGGTGTGGCACCCAGTACCCCCTCAGCAGGTGGTTGCAGAGTCAGAGGATTTGAATCCGCTCCTGCGGATGGAGTTGGTGGCCTATGGGTGGGGAGCTGTAGGGAAATGCCCCTCCCTCGAGCTGGGACCCACAAGGACCGGGTCACAGGGCTCCAAGGTTAACTTCTCTGTTCCGCACCCCCCAGCTCAAGACAGATTTCCCAAGACCCATCCTTCTCCTGTGTGCTGCTGTGTTGGAAAGAAAACTTTTTTTTTTTTTTTTTTTGATTCTTAACTTCTGCAGAAGCTGATCCCACCTCTCAATGAGAGCCTGTGTCTTTCTAAAGAGGCCTGGAAAACCAAGCTGGTTTCAGCCAAAGGGAGGAAGGCAGCAGGAGTGGCTCAGCAGTGATGTCTGGTGATCTTGCCCTATCTCAAGATTCTACAAAATGCTTCTGTAATTTTCATCTGGGGTTTCATGGCTTTATTTCGTCACAATGACATTTTTCAAAATTTTCTTTATGTATTTATTTTTATTTGAAAGAATGAAAGAGATAATGAGAGAAGGGGAGAGAGAGAGAGAGAGAAGGAGGGGAGAGAGAGAGAGAAGGAGGGGAGAGAGAGAGAGAGAGAGAGAGAAATCTATTTGCTGGTTTGGTTCCCAAATGCCCCCAACAGTTGGGGCTGGGCCAGGCTGAAGCCAGAGCCTGGAACTCCAGCCAAGTCTCCCACATGAGTGACAGGGGCCCAAGTACTTGAGTTATCATGTGCTGCTTCTTGGGGTGCACATTAGCATAAGGCTGGATGAGAAGCGGTAGGGACTCGAGCCCAGGGATGCTGATATGGGATGCAGGCATCTGTAGAGGCGTGTTCCCTGCTGTCAGATTCCCAAACCATCACAATGAAATCTTGGGTCTGACTTGGATTTTCTTCTTTCTTTTCTCTCTCTCTCTCTCTCTCTCTCAAGACTTATTTATTTAAAAGTCAGAGTTACCAGAGAGAGAAGGAGAGGCAGAGAGAGAGAGAGTGAGAGAAAGAGAGAGAGAGAAAGAGAGAGAAAGAGAGAGGTGTCTTCCATTTGCTGGTTCACTCCCCAGCTGGCTGCAATGGCCTGGGCTGAGCTGATCCGAAGCCAGGAGCCAGGAGCCTCCTCCAGGTCTCCCATGTAGGTGCAGGGACCCAAGGACTTGAGCCATCCTCTGCTGCATTCCAAGGCCATAGCAGAGAGCTGGATTGGAAGCGGAGCAGCCAGGACCCTAACTAGGACCCGAAATGGCACCCACATAGGATGCCAGCGCTGCAG